CACGACCAATCATTTTAGCCGGCCCGGCTAAAATAACTGGATGGCCTACCTGCCTGTCAGCCTTCCATCTGTGCACAAACTTATCTCGTGGCCTCATTGATGATGTGTTGGAGGAGGGACTCTGTAAGAAAGTCTGAAGGAAGAGGCCTATTTTTTCCGGTTGTGTATTTTCAAATTCTAGCGCACTCGAGCTGGTTTCTCCATTCTTACCTACCCTACCTTTAACTATTTTTAGGGTGCAGCTATATGTTTTATTTATTTCAAAGTGGGCACATTTTAATAATATTTGTTTTTCCTTCAAATGTGCAGAGGACTCCCCAAGTGCTGTGTTTAATTAATTTAAAGTAGGCCTGTGTATTATTTGTAATTCTCCTTATAGGAGTTCTTTGTTTCTTATTAGAGGTTAAAAGTTGTATATAATGTAATAAATAGCCTAATAAATGCAAAAAAACTGTAGTTTTTGTCTGATATAACAATAAATACAACTTTATTAGCTATCAAGCTATGAAATATGTTTTGCGGCTCCAGACAAAAAAATGTTTTGGAAAAAGGAGCAAAATGGCTCTTTTGGTCAAAAAGGTTGCAGACCCCTGCTTTAGAGGAAAGACATGTTCTGCAAACTATCGATTCATTTTTTAAATCAATAAAGGTAAAAAATGTCCCAATTTCCCAAAGTGGTGACTTTATTTTAAACAGTAATTATATCACAAATAAAAGAAACAGGCAATAGTTAGAGATCAAGAATCTTACCCCAAACATTTGAGGTATTCTGGTAGTTGTAAGAGGAACGCTTTGCTCGTTTTGCTCGTTTTACCCCTGAAAAAGCAGCAGCGTTACACACATCAGCAAACAGCATGCAGAATAACTGAAAACAATGACTCAGTTTACAAAATGAACACCAACATGGTGGTCATTTTCTGTGCAATCAGTGTTGCCATCATGTATTCAGGGTCTCTGCAATTTCAGAGAAGCATTATTTATGGACCACTGAATTGTCTTAACTGTTTTAAAATCATTCTACAAATTAGAAATATATAACATAATTCAAAAATACTTTAATGCAGTACATTAAATACAATTTATAAAATAAAAGTAAACTGAAATCCAAATGAATTCTTAATCTTGGAAGATTGTGAGATATTACTTATTTTACACATATTTGCTTGCTCTTTGTTCAAATCAATGAATAGTAATACATCTGATCACACATCATCATCATCATCATCATTTGATATCTTACCTTCAGGTTTGGTAGCATTTTCATTGGTTTGCTGCTGAGCAGTAATCTCAGAAAGTTCTGAAAACAACAAACTCATGTCAACCTAATTCATTAAATAAGGAACTTAAATAAATAACAAAATTACTTTAAAGAAAAAAGGTCATAAAAGCATATTTTAGTGGAGCTGCTCAAAAGATGGCAATGATGTCTGTATTTATCTGAACTACCAGGTAACGCAAAACACCACATCCCATTATTGTAGCCTGTCTTGCCACATCCTGTCTGACAGTAATATTTGAGTGTGATATTCCTCCTCACCAACAGTTTTCAGTGGACAGGGCAGAAGGACGCCCCATGCCTGAGCAAAGTGCTGGAGCAGCAGAGAGGTGATTTTGCGGTGGGCAAGGGTGTTCCAGTGGACGCCGTCCTTCGTGCGATGCTGCAGGGAGAAGCGGAAATGGAAGTGGAGGTCCAACGCATCCATCCCATAGGCGTCAGCCAGAGTCCCGCTGAAGAAGTTGGCATCGATCACATCATAACGTAAGTGGGAGGACTTGTGCTCAATCTGAGGTGAAGGATGGAGAGTTTTAAAATTTGGAAAAACAAAATGAAGAGGAAACATGAGAAACATTTGTGTGAAGTAAAATGTTCCTTGTCAGTTTTTGCCTATTAGACATGATGTTTCTGAATTCATTTAAATGCTGCATTAATTGGTACATTTAATTTTACTGCTGTATATATTAAAAGGTTGTTTATTTTACTTTTTATATTTACCATTTCGTATTTTAATTTACAGCAATGCATTATATTCTATGAAATCATCATTTTTGTAGAGTCCCTGTGGTACTGCAGTAAAAAGTACAAACCCTAACTCTGGGATACAGTCAAGTATTAAATTACTTAAAAAGGGGATAATACACAAGTACAGTACTTGTCTGTACTAGGTTACATTCCGTCACTGGTGATAACCTACCTCCTGTACCAGGAAACCACCGTTGATCCTCTCTCCTAATGGCATGGTGATGTTCCAGATCACCAGCGTTTCCTCTGGCAGAATCCCACGCAGCTCACTAAAGAACGTGTGTAGGTTCTCCTTGTAGGCATCAAGCCAAATGGAATTGTATCTACGTTATTTAAAAACAGATAAAGACAAACCAATGAAGAACAAAGTCACTCTGAACCCTCTCATCATTAGACATTTAATGACATCTTACACCAGGGAACCGATTCAGATGTTTTTTTACACAAAGCATATCCTTTAGTCCAAGTGGGGGAAAAACGTACTACGATTACTACAAACTCCTTCACCCACCCACCTTGAAATATCCCAAACGCAGGAGTTGACAATGAGTACATCTGGTTTCAATCCGTTGCGGAAGTCCTCTAGGATGCTCTTCATGTAGGAAGAGTAGATGCGGGTCACAAAGTAGAAGCGGACCAGGTGGTGATCGGACTGATACTGCCGAACCTCCCTGTACCCCGTTCCATTGTGCATCAGACTCTTACAACCTCCTTCCACCAGGCAGTCCTCTTCAAAGCTCATCTCACCCTGAAGGACAAAGATATACAGGACTGTCTCAGAAAATTAGAATATTGTGATAAAGTTCTTTATTTTCTGTAATGCAATTAAAAAAACAAAAATGTCATACATTCTGGATTCATTACAAATCAACTGAAATATTGCAAGCCTTTTATTATTTTAATATTGCTGATTATGGCATACAGCTTAAGAAAACTCAAAAATCCTATCTCAAAAAATTAGAATAGTTCCTCAGACCAAGTAAAAAAAAAAGATTTATAACAGCAAAACACAATCAAACATTTGAAAATGTCCATTAATGCACTCAGTACTTGGTTGGGAATCCTTTTGCACGGATTACTGCATCAATGCGGCGTGGCATGGAGGCAATCAGCCTGTGGCATTGCTGAGGTGTTATGGATGCCCAGGATGCTTCAATAGCGGCCTTTAGCTCATTAGCATTGTTGGGTCTGGTGTCTTTCAGCTTCTTCTTCACAATACCCCACATATTCTCTATGGGGTTCAGGTCAGGGGAATTTGCAGGCCAATCGAGGACAGTAATGCCATGGTCAGTACACCAGTTACTGGTGGTTTTGGCACTGTGGGCAGGTGCCAGATCATGCTGGAAAATGAATTCCTCATCTCCATA